TGTAGTTTAAGATTGGGTTCTATGTCAATTCTTTATCTTATGATCTCAATACTTTCTATACTTAGCAGTAAATCCAGACTGGCAGACAAATGCCTGAGTTTCTACTTATTTTTTTAAAAAAATTGTCAAAAGAAAGAAAGTTATCATGGGAATGTACAACCCTGGAAAAGTGTATGTCACTTTGAAAATTTGCATTAAGTTAATTCAAATGAAGGAACTTCTTTTATAAAATATTCAAGGATTTGGTTTTTCCAGGATATGCTAATAAAGGAAGCTACTTCTTACTGAAATGGTTCTAAATGAACTACTCCCAGATCCATATAATTAAAGCCATTCCATGATAGTTGACAATGGTAGCAAACATTGCTTTTGTGATGAATTGGCCTTTGTACATAAGAATTCTCTTAGACTACTATTATGTTTTCTTATGTATTCTGTATAGCATAGAATACCAAAATTCATTAACTGTGACAAAAATATGTACAAATGGAAAAGGCAAAACAATTAAATCATCCAATAATTTCAACTTTAACATCTCCTCTGTTGCATTTCCTGTGTTCTCCATTAGTCATCCACTTTGGACAACTTTGTCATATACTATCTTTGATAATCTCCTGAGCTAGTATTTTTCTGTAATTTTTCTTGTACAATTCCCCATTGGGCAATTGTTTCAGATCCTTCACCATTCTGTATTCCAAACTCTTTGCTCTCTCATCCTTTTTCCATGTTCTGCAGTCTATTGATTCTAGGTTTTGTTCCCTAGTCTTTCTTGTTTCTTCTCTCTTCTTTGATTACATTTAGTGTTTCCATTTATGTTGGTTTTCATTTTAATGTTTTTTCTATTCATTAATCTACTTCCTTCCCAATTTGAGACATAATTTTGAGATTTCTAAATCAAGCATTAAACAAAACAGAGTTATTTGTTCTACTGAAAGCAACAGAGATATCAAATGTATAAGGTTAGAGCACAGAATTTAACTGTCATTGATATGTGTGGATGAGAGGATTTGAAGAGATCAGAAGTAAGCAGCAATCCTTAACTCAGAGTTGATGAATGTTACTTTACTATCTATATTACTACAGCTTTACTTCTTTGAGTCTATATTACTATAACCTTTCTTCCTCTAATGTCACAGCTCGGCAACACACCCTTCTTTTCAGAAGTATCTTGTGAAAATATTTTTTTATTCTTGTTTACACTGACTTTCTAAAAAGCAGCACAATACTTCTAAGCCCTTATCTCTCTACTCTCATATCATAATATAGCCTTGATAAAGACCTTTGCTCCTCCATTTTCATTCTTGTGCCTAGTTTGTGTTTTCTCAAACAATTCCATTCTTTTTCTTTTACTTTCTCTTCAAGATACCTGCATCATACCAATTTATTTGTCCTCCAAATAATTTTACCATTATGGTTTTGCAGCAGTCCAGTAATTCCTCTTATCTTGATGCAGGAAGGAGTAATTATGCTGGTGGAAATTTAAGTCCAGAATCCAAAAACTAACAGATTCTCCAATTATTCCCTAAAATATTGGTGTAAGTAAAGTATTTTAAATATTAAATAATTAAGTGAATAAAAGTATTTTATTTGCAGGAAACTTTTTGGCTAGTTTTGACAAAGAATTACGCAGCTGAGGATATCTACTCAAACTACAGAAGATATTTTCAGAATGACAGAAAGAACCTAATGATACTCTTACTAGTCTACATAAAATGCTACATATCAAATTAAAATAAGAGTGCAAAAGAGAATAGTAGCATGCTACCCATTTAACAAAATTTCCAAAGTCTAATTATGGAAATTAATCTACTGCCATGGTAGAAAGGGGCAAATGAAGAAATGCCTTCAGTTCACCCTTTTATATTAAAAAAATAAATAACATTTTCATTTTAGACCATTCCATTACATTTTTGATGTTTAGCAATGAATGCAAAGGCACACCCAAAGCTGATAAAGAATAGAACCAATTGGCCTTTTGTGTTATTTTTTTTTAAATATGTAACATTCTATATATATATGAATAAGCAAAAATTTCATATCAGTGTCAACTATGGCAATTCAAACCTTGACATAAAAGTAATAATAGGTCAAGGTAATAGGTGTCAAAGTTTCTTCCAAACTGGAAAGAGTTAATCCAAAGAACAAGTCTGATCAGAGTCCTAGTTAGTGGTCCTTAAGAGAGATGTTAAAATTACAATACAATAATTCCACCAAAAATATTCTTTCAAATGAGAAACCTATGCATATGCAATCTAAAATGACAATATTCCAGTCTGTTTTTTCATACTTTTTTAGTGCAACAGGGAGCATGTGGTCTATTTTGTGAAAATAGGGCAGTCAGTATCTATTTATTGTTTTAGCAATTGCAGGCTAAACTTAACAGTGTAAGAAATTACTCTCAAAAAGGGTTTATAAAAAGCTCAGATGCAAGGATGCATTTTAGACCTCCTTGCATGCGATAATGATGAACACTAATTCCTCTTGGCTTCAACAGGCTGCTTTTAAACTTCTTCCTAATCAATAATGTTTAAAGTGCATTTGGCTTTAGGTCATGACCTCCAGTAAAACCTTCTTGCTCATTGGTAAATATCCTTTTAATAATTAGTATAGTCAATGAATATGTATACATTAGACATATGTATATAACACATACTCTAATCAAAGATAAGCAATTTTATACTTTCGAAGTCCTGGGTACTCTGAGCTTGGTTGTTGGCTTGAAGAGATGACCTTACCTGATTAGATAACATTATCAGTACTAGTAAGTGAGGTTTGCTCCCTATTTATATAGAGTAGCTTTTCCTGTCAGTGTTTATTTTTTATTTATTAAATTTATATGCCACCCGTCTCGCTATCCAGAGTGAGTCTGGTTTGTAGGGCGTAGCTTTCTCCTCAATAGTTGCTTGATGAGGATATTGTTTTGTATTTCACTTGACTGTTTTTATATTTCACTTCAAATTTTATATTTCACCTAATTTAGTGGTAACTAACCTGAAATTAATGGGACTTCAAAATGCATTTCACTCACATTTTTCTGGTAATGAATAATTTATTTCTCTTTCATAAAGAATTGAAGTTGTGTTACATCTTATTGCCAATACATCCTTTCATCTTACCCTTAAATATACTGAAAACCTGTTTAGCTACACATGTTATCTATATTAATCACTACTTATTTCTATTCATTAACCAAAAAATGGTAGAAGGAAACTGAAAAATATGTTGTCTTTTTCAGAAAAAAGCATTAGATTTTCCTTTTGAACTTTCCCTCAGATGGAAACCTGAAGTAAACCATTCTGAGATAACTATAAAAGAGCAACATACTGCAAAGGAAGCAAACATATTTCAATTCTTTGCGAATCAGATTTCTTTTTCAATTTTCTAGTTTCAATTATAAACTCATCTTGTTGGAAATGAGAAACAAATATCTATCTCAAGTTAAACATGCAAAAGACTGCCATCACATAAGCTCATGGGAAACCATTATACCAAATTAGGCAATGAACGGATAGTAGAGTCTATCCTGGATTTCAGAAAAGGATTAAGCCACTCTTGAGCATACCAGGATGGACCCAGAACATTTAACATATTATTGCATTTTCCCCAACCCAAATAACTACCAAGATCAATGAATTAGGATCATAATATTGTGATTGTGGGTTCTTTTACATAGCTGAATATGTTTTAGGTATGACCCTCTAACTTCCGATGCATGCTTCAGGGATGACTCCAAGGCCATACCGAGTTGCTTCTCCCATTTTGCCCTCCTTCAGCTGACTCACATCAATATAACAGCAGCCATGTCTGGTCACAAAATCTGTATGCCACATTGAGTCATATTCTTCTCTAAACAGTTACTGAATGGACTATATGTCACATCCATTCCAGTTGAGATCACTTTGGTCTCAATTTCCAACTAAAATCAGTGACATGAACATGGTTCAGTTTGCTTGGATTACATTTTTAGGATTCATACATGACAAAGCTAAGCACTTGTTCAATATGATCCTGATGTATAAAGTGGATTCCATAAGACTGGTTTTCTAGTAAAGGCTGATTATGATTGCAAGTTCAGTATTTTTAATTCTATCCCACTAAAAGTTAATAGGACCCACTGTGGCCATATGTATAAATAATGGGCACAGAGTAACCTATTATGTCCACAAAGAAAACACTTCTACAATGCTTCAGTTACACCATGGCACACTTTATATTTACACAATCAAGGTGGCTTCTATAGAGCTAAGTAGACTTTTTTCTCCCCAAGCATACCATAGGGCTATTATCAATATTGTTTCATTCAGGTTATAGTTAGTGGACTGCTCAGATTTTCCTGACCAGTCCCACACTTTTAGCAATGTCCAAACAACAAGTGTTATGAACTTCCTTATGCCTCTAAAGAGCCCTAAACAGGCAAAGGTTTAATTTGTACATTTTTGAGCATGGATTACCCCTTTCTTTCAAATTCTTCTTCATGTCTATGAAGTTGTGGCTGTGACATTTTTCACCATAATGCAGAGCAATCCTTACACTTGTTGTATATTCCGTTTCCTGAGTGTGGGTGGTAGAAGAAATATATTTATTTCTAATTACTAAAAGCCAGGGAGGAGAAACCCTAGAGAGAGTTATTGCTGTCGCTTTCAAGTGCAAAGTTAATACTTTCTCCACTCGCCTTTCTCCTCTCTCTTTGCTCGAGATCTACCATCTGATGGATGGAAAGAGCCAGTGAAGGAGTCCCGGCCTCTTGGAAAGGCAGAAAGAACCTGTCCTGCTCCAACCCAATCGGAGGTCTTCAAAGCCAATCTTTCCACTCCCGTGATTCGCTTTGCCTATTTCCTCTTTAAAGGCAGTCCCAAGAACTCTTTTTAAGAAGAAAGGAAACGGCCCCTCCCCTACAGCTGCAAAATGGAACTCAGGAGTAACTTTCTCCCGCGTGCCCGGCGCGCTTCGCCTACCCCTTCGCCCCGCGGACGCCAAGCACCTAACATTTCCCGGCTCACCTCAGTCAGGCCGGCAGCGAAGCCCGACGCAGTGCCCAGACTCGCGACCAGGCGCTGGTGGAAGCGCGATCTTCCTCCTCCGTCCCCTTCGCTCTCCCTTCTTCTCCGGGGGCGTCCAGCGGCCCGCTCCCCAGCCCCGATCCCTTCTAGCCCTGGCCACGCACTTGGCCGACCTCTCTACCTCGAACCGCGACACCCCTGCTCTGGGTCGGCTGCGCGGGGCAGGCAACCGACCGCTTTGAAGGGGAAGGCGCAGCGGCAACCGCCAGGAGGAGGGAGCGCGGGCGGGAGGAGGAATCTAAAGGTCAGGGAACTCCTTAGAAGTGGCGTGGCGGGAACGTTGGTTGTTCCAGTTTTCGAATAAAATATCTACTTGTGTCCACTTTCACAACAAGCCACGCTAGAACAGCGAGAAAAATGGCTTTCGCAAAGCCAGATTTTCCCGCCTGGCAACAGATCGCCGGGATAGCCACTATTGTTTGTCGGTCCTTTCTCCAAACCACAAGACTCTGGCGTATATTTGTTTAAAAAGACCGTCCAATGATGGAAGTGCGTGCCTTAACTTGCTAGTTTGTCATGGAAGGTCACTACGGATGAGAACAAACCCTGGGGTGTCAGAGTGGCTCAGTTGGCGCTGGGACAAAAAAAACCACACGCGCACATACACCCAAGTTTCAATAAGAGCAGAGTACCTGGAAAGCAGAGAGATGCCGGTACTACGTGAGCTTTGTCTTCCCAGAGCTGTTTTCTTCGATTTATATCTAGGACCAGCTGTTAGTTGGTGTAAGGAGTCCTTAGTGCTCTCTGAGCTTGCTTGTTTTCTTGCAGAGGGTTCATTACCCAGACTAGGTAACATCAGTGCAGCACCAAAGACCCTCATTTCAACCCTGAGCTACAAATATTCCCCTTTATTGTTAGTTGAGTGGTGGTGAATTTCTCTCTCTCTCTCTGTGTGTGTGTGTGTGTGTGTGTGTGTGTGTGTTTTTAAGCAAAAGCAACATTTTCTATAATGTGCTTCTGTATATTAAAGTAGAATTTTATAACATATGAAATTCCTATAACTCCTAACCATAAATAACCATTGGAATTGAAGGCCAGCAAACTCAAAGGTATCTGTTTAGGACAAGAACATTAAACATTCAGTCAACATTTACTCCCATTGTTATAGTAGATTCCTTTATTCTTGACTTATGTAGAAAGGTTTCATAGACCTTATTCAGTTGGTGATTTATTCATCTCCATAACATGGCAAGACATCTTTTTATTTGTTCACTATTTTTACTTCATATACTCTACTTTCAATAAATGTCTTGTTTTTTTTCTGGATATAAAGCATTACCTGTAGTTTTTACAGTTGAATTCTGCAACTCCTATCCTGTTCTAGAGGCTGAAATGTGCTGAATTAGACATGGCAAGGCAATATACCTGTTCAGGATTTGTGGTTGCATTTGTTTTTTATTTAGGCAAGATGTACAAATTTAAGAAGTTATAGAGTAATTACAACTATTTTGAAAAATTTCCTGTAGCACGAATGAAAATGAAATATTGTGGTTGATCAAACTTCATCTTGTAAATTACCCATTTTAGAGTGTGATTTAAAAAATGTTCAGAGAAAACTAAGGATTTTACTTTAAGACACTGTAGTGTAAGTAACCACAAGTATGTGTAGTTGCATGAATTAAATTAACTAAATCAGATGAATAGACTGATTTTCCAGCTGTTGTTGGATTCAACTCCATCATTCTCAGCCAATATAGCTAGCAGAAATAATAGGAGCCGTCTAACATTATTTGAAAGAATAAAAAGAATAGCCCTTCACATTATGTTACATAATCGAATTTGGCACAATTTTGGAATAGAGACATCTTTAGTTTACAAAATAATTATGAATGCCTGTGTACATCTTTAAGAAGAGATTATACCAGCTCACATTCTTTTATTTTGCTTTTCACTGATCGTTCACACATCTGGATTGCCTAATGTTGACATTGTTCAATAACTATTAAAAATTTCTGTGTCTTCTTGATCCTGGAATTGTGTTCACATTAAAAATATACATGTGTACATCTCAGTGTATATATTGGCATGAGATAAATTATAGTGATGAGTATGAATGTCGTGAATTAGTAGCAACTTGAATATGTGTCCACCTATGCATATATTCAATTACTAATGTTTTTTAAAATTGTTCTAAGAGAACTGGGGTAGGCACATTTCAGTTCCAAAGACATTTAGAAAAATATGTTATGCAATAGAAGAGAAAAAATGTGGGGGGTTTGTTACATTTACTATAACTTTTCTCCTCTTAAATATGAAGCAGTAACAGTTAAATCAGTTTCATGGAAATTTTCCAAGGATTTATTTAGAATAGAAATTCAAATAAAATGATCTAAAAGATGCTCCAGTTGTTTCAGTACTGTCATGGTAATCCTAAAATTGTTCTGCAGTCAAGCAGGAAAAAACGATACAGAGGCTATTGCAGTACTCTATGGGAATGAATTTGGGGAAGTTCATATCTTTAGTAAAAATTCGTATCATCCAAAGTATGTGTATGTAAACCAGATAAATAATATAATTGAACAATGTGGACAAATATTTTAACTTACATCCAATATGATAGATATGTTGGCTATGATTATTTTTTCTATATAGTTGTAAGGTTTATTTACGTTTGATACGTCCCTGAGATTAAAAGCCAAGTTAATTTATATTTCAAATTTTGTCTACTGATTGCAAGTTTGCAGGAAAAGCTAAGCTGCCTAAAGAAATTTTGAAAATGCAGGTATACCTTGTTGTGTATTTGTGTGTGTGTGTGTGCACACGCGCGTGTGTGTGTATGTACATATTTCTTCTGCATCTGTCTTTATGTATACTCTTTTATACTTCCATTTCATAACTAAGGTTAAACAATAAATTATTAAACAAATGAATATGCCAAAGCTTTTCTGGTTTTCTCTTCTTCTTTTTCTAAGTTTGTAAGACAACTTCAGATAGGAGACAAGCTTTCTCTTTTTTGACTGTCAACACTGAGTTTAATATTTTATTAAGAAAAAAAGAAATTGTGTTTGGTTAAAAAACTATGGTTTATTAGATTAAATCAGAAACAAATTGGATATTCAGAGGACTTCCAGGCGAAGGAGCAGCCAAGGAGAGACTTAGACCATTGCTGAAGGAAAATAAAGCAGGAACCCAACCAAACACAGATAAGGGCCTTTCTTAGGCATTATCTTATGGTGATAAGAACAGCAAAACCTAGAATGAAGTAGTGGGGGGGCTCATTGTATTCACAGAAAGCCAGCTGGTGGCCTTGTTCAGGGTGACTCAATTAGATTTGCTTAGAGTTGGATTCTACCTATACAGATCCTATGGAGGATCTGAGGGACGGTCTTGCCTGGTTATCTTGGAGGACTTTGCATGTGTTAGTTGGCAGAGTCCTTGGGACTGTGAGTTTGTTGTGGGGACAATATGCCAGTCTACTCAGAAGGTAATTAAGACATGGATGATTGTAAGGAAAAAAAAACTCTAGCTCAGGAAAGGATGCAATTAACACTCAACATGAAGATATAAGTTCCTAGTACCAGGAAGCCACTTAGCTTGCAAAGGTTGAGCCAAAGCCTCTTTTTTGATTTCCCTATCAAATATGTCAGAAACGCTACATACTAAGACAGAGGCTCCACAGCATTATTTGATTGGCTAGGAAGAGATATAAAACTGAGTATCATCTGCATACTAATAATTCCTTAGCCTGTGCTACTGCATAACTTTACCCAATGGTTGCAGAGAAGTTAAACAGACATGGGGATAGAATCAAGCTCTGAGGCACTCAGCAAGGCAAGGACTATGGGTAGACCTCCCCACTCCCATATCAACACCATCTGGAACCAGCCCTAGAGGAAGGAAGCAAAGCAATACAATTCATGGCCACCCACACCTGTCCCCTGAAACTAAACCAGAAGGGTACCATGAAATAATACAATTTTGGCTAGATTGTCCTTTAATAAATGTGCCTTTTGAATGTGTGTTTATGTATTGTAAAGTATATGCAAATTCTTTAAAATAGGCCATATCAGCACATTTCCATATGCATTTGAAATACAAATTGGTTATGCTCATACTGAAATGCAAACTAAAAAGCATTCAACTTACCAACTTCTCTGTTTCTTAGGCATAGCAATAAATCAAAGGTAATATTTATCAGAAAGCAGGTGTTTTCAGTTTCCTTGCATGTGGCAGAACAAGAGGAGCTTGAAATAAGTTTATCCTGGCTTATTTCCAAACCACATCATCTAGGTATACTTTTTAAAAAGGGTCCACACCCTTTTAAATCAATTCAAAATGTGCATTGTGACAATATGGTTCTGCATTCAAATATATTTTGTCATTGTTGAAGAAGATTCTCATAAATCTATTTTAGTAACATCTGATTTAAGTTCTGATGACTTCACAAGATATTGTCTGATTAATTCTGGAAAAGACCTCCTGAGTCAGTTTATTTGCTTTTGAAAAGCAAATGGCTACCAGTTATAGAACTTTATGTTTAGGTAATAAATAGATAGATATACAGAAGAGTTCATTGGAGGTTTTATAAGCCTAAATGATTCAATGGACTTTGAAGAAATAGTAAGTAGGATACAAACAGTCTGGACACTTTGCTGTTAGAGGAGATTCTGAGAATACTAGAAACAGTAAGATTATCAAACCAACCAACTGTAAATCCTCACTTGAGGCACAAATGACCAGGATCAAATTATCAAATTTCCAATATATTATGCAAAGCTAGCTCTTTGGAATAAGTGCTAATGCTAGGAAAGATAGAAGAAAAGAAAATTGGAGGACAACCAGCATAAAAATGGAAGGACCCAGTTATAGCAGCAATTCAGGTTTCGAACTTAATGCTATGAGAACGAGATAAGGGGTTCTATGTTAAAATTTTGGTTCATGAAATTAAAGTCTTGTATTAGTCAGCTGGGGATGCTGCAATGTTGTAAGTGTGAAAAGCTGTCATAAGTCACTTTTTTCAGTGCTGTTATAATATTTGAACAGTCACTAAATGAACTTTTGTAAATCGAGGACTACCTGTAATGCCTCAGGAAAGATTTGAATTTCATGATGATCATTTCCAATATTTTAAAACTAAGCAGTTCTGTTTTATAACATACTAACATTAACCAAATTGTGTATCAAAAGATGTAACATTTAGTTAACAGCTGGAGTTTTTGTTACTTGAATCAGCTGTATGATTTTCCTACATGTTGCTGCATGTCGGCAATATTAACTGTTGTAAGGGAATAATAACTCATCAGACTTG